ATATACTGTGGAACGACATCATGAAAAGTGTTTCCGATTCGTGTGAACCCGAGTGGATGGAGGCCGAGGATCCACTTTTCATACTATACACGAGGTATTTGTAATTAATGTTTATTTTCTGTTAATTAAATCAAATTAACATATACTGTATGTCATGTGTTATGTGTGTAACCTATCGGACTATATTACTCTGGGTTTTAATTAAAGAATTTTAAATTAATTAATGAATAAGTCATGTAATCGTAAAAATAATATTTTCAAACTTTAATGAATTTTTAAATCCACTTTGGATGACTTTCAAAAAGTCATATGAAAAATAATATATATTTCAAAATACAGTAACGTAAAAATGAAATTAAAGGAAATAATAAATAATAAATTAATAATTAAGAAATCGCCATAAAATATAAATTTTTAATAATATTTTCCAAGAAATATTTTACATCTAATTAAATATTAAAATTATTTTTCTTTAGAGTTTACTAGTATCATTAATTATGTTATGAATATTAATGGTTAATAAATGACTGTATCTAACCTTAACTACAGTATAACTTAATTATCAATAAGAGTAAATGAATAGAAAACTGATTAAACAAAATGATTGCTAAATTAAAATATTTTGTTGTTTGAGTGGAAGTACAGGAAAGCCTAAAGGGATTGTTCACACGATCGGCGGTTATTTACTGTACTCTTACATAACATTCAAATACGTATTCAATTACACGGACGGAGACGTGTTTTTCTCGACGGCCGACTTGGGATGGATGGCGGCCCACACTTTCAACGTTTACGGCGCGCTCGCCAACGCCTGCTCTATAGTGCTCTTTGAAGGCACCCCTGTCTACCCAAACCCCGGACGCCTCTGGAATATAATCGACAGATTAGGCGTTAATATCTTCTATACGGCGCCGACTACTATCCGATCGCTCATGAAGTTTGGCGACCATTACGTCCGGCAATACAAACGCGATTCACTCAAAGTGTTGGGCACTGCGGGCGAACCCATTAACCCCGAGGCCTGGTATTGGTTCTGGGATGTGGTCGGCAACCAAAAGTGTCCCGTTGTTGACAACTACTGGCAAACGGAAACGGTAGGCAACAACAACTGGCGTCTCGTATAATAAGTTTAAATGTTATTAATTGATAATTGACTTAAAGGGCGGACCTATGATAACATGCCTGCCGGGAGCGACACCTATGAAACCGGGTTCGGCTACCCTTCCGTTCTTTGGTGTGATTCCGGCGATACTGGACTCGGAGGGCAAAGAGCTGAAGGGCGCGGCTACGGGACAGTTGGTGTTCAAGAAGCCGTGGCCCGGCATCGCCCGCACCATAGATGGCAAACACGAATGGTATCAAATGACTTACTTTCATAAGTTTAAGGGCTATTATTGGACGGGCGATGGCGTCCAGAGGGACTCCGATGGCTACTATTGGATGACCGGCCGGAACGACGATACGCTCAACGTTTCCGGTCATCTCTTATCGACCGTAGAGGTGGAGACGGCTATCGTAGAGCACCGGGCGGTGGCCGAAGCGGCCGCTGTGTCGGCCCCGCACGCCATCAAAGGGGAAAGCATTCATGTGTTTGTCGTTTTGAATAATGGCTACGAATTGACCGCAGAGTTGGAGATGGATATCAAACGCAGAGGTATTGACAGAAAAGTAAATGATATGCCATTTGAACACTAAATGCAATGATTGGTTGACAGCGAGGGATAAGATCGGAGCGCTGGCCGAACCCGATGTGATCCTCGCCGTCAGTGGACTCCCGAAGACTAAGTCGGGGAAAGTTATGCGAAGAATACTCAATAAGATTACGAGACATGACTGCGAATTGGGCGACACCTCCACTATGGCTGACGACACCATTCTCGACGAACTCTTCACTATCTCTGGCATTAAATGTTGAAAATAGCAACACATTTATGCATTCATTTACTGTATATGATCGAGATATTAATATAGATTGTTAGTAATTATGATATTATTAATAGAATATAATGTTTTAATTATAAGGAAATTATAAAATTTAATTAATACAGTATATTGTGTTTCAATATTTATAGTTTTGAAATAAATTTTATATAAATATACTGTGAATGTTCGTGATATGTCATACATTTATAGGTTTAATATTGTTAACACATTTTTAATGCATTTAATTTCAATAAAATAAGTTGACTAATCATTTGTTTGTAATGTATTTATTATACTTTAAGCTAATGAAACTTTGATCTGATTTGTATAATTTTTGTTACTGATACAATATATAATTTTTAATATAAAATTCAAACGTAAAAATAATTATTATCAAAATAATTCCAAATAGCACATTGATCAAACAAATGATCAAATATAATAAATTAACATTTTGTCAAATTCTAATAGGGATAAAGTCTAAATGAATAGTTTTCAAACAAATGAATACACAGGAATTAAGCGTAACTTATATAGCTTTCAATATTTTGTTGCTTACGGCTAAATTTTAAATTTTAAATTAAAATAATGACAAAACATTAACAATGCAAATTACATGTTAATTTTTTTTGTGTTCCTAGAATTAAAATTGTCATAATTATACGAAAAATAATTTTACTTAATTATAGTGAAATCAAACAAATGTGTTGAATGTCATCTTGTCAATAGTGTCATTTTTAAGCAAATAACATTTGCTATACTCAATATCTAATCATATGATTGCTTTAAAATATTAAGAATTTTTTAATTAATTTTAATCTCATGTTTTTATGATTAATAATGATTGTGTTTTAAATACAACTGGTACAATACGGCATAATTTGATAATAAAATAATTAATATTGTTTAGAATTATATGCATCTAAAACATTTTGTATAATTTTATAAAATTATAATTAAATTGTCAGTTACTAATAATTTTCAACAGAAATTATTAGTGATATAAAGTGAAACAAATTAAAATAAAATTCTGTATAATTAAACAAATTCTATACTTATTAAATAACTACTGTACACAAACAATAACAAGTCATTTATGATAGAAAAGATAACTCTATCTTAATATTTGATAATTATTTTGAAATATTGAAAACAATGTCCACGTCTTTGGATGATATAGTGATCAGCGGAATGTCGGGTCGATTCCCACTGTCGGACAGTGTGGACGAGTTGGCCCGCAATCTCTTCTCTGGCGTCGATCTCATCACCGAAAGCGACAGTCGTTGGCCTAAAAGTATGCCTTTTATTAAAGATTTCACTTTTAAGTTATATGAAAGCAATTACAATGACATGAATCCTAACATATTGTATAGATTTCTGTGACATATCCTCCCGAATGGGACGCATTGAGAGTTACGACAGATTTGATGCAAATTTCTTTGGTATCACAACAGAAGTGGCCGAAGATCTGGATCCACAGATCCGTATGCTATTGGAGGTGGCATATGAAGCCATTATGGACTCCGGTATGTCATCTCAATATTTGATGAACTTGACAATTTGAAAAGTCTAAATTCTAACTGATAAATACAATAGAAAAGTATAGTTTATTTATTTCCATAATATTTCCATAAATTATAATTGAATGCATAAAAAGCAAACTCTGATTTTAGGGCTACTATTATATTCTCAAAATTTTTGATTTAGACTACAAAATATTAATTGATTTTTATAATAGTATATTGAATACAAAACCGTACAATTCATAAATAACACAAAATGTAGAGTTTGTTTTGCACACCTAGTTTACAATTATACAAGTTTTAGCACATTTTCTAAAAAGGTATCCAATGAAAGAAATGATCATGGTATATAAAATATTAGAAACTTTGTATAATTATGTAAACTTATAATAAAGAATTATTTTATCGATTATACGATAGGTATGAATCCACAATTGCTATCATATAGTAATACTGGTGTTTATATTGGTAATGGAAAATATATATTGACGGACGGGTATAATGATTACCCCCAAGATGGTCACCCGGCTCAATGCACCAATGGATTAAACAAAATACTTTCCAATATGCAATGTTTGTTATCAGAAAACATATCATACTATATGAACCTCAAGGGCCCATCCATTGTGGTGGACACGGCCTGTTCATCCAGTCTGAGTGCACTTAACCTCGCAATCAATGATTTGTTATTAGGTATCAAATGTGCTTGTTGTTATGTTTTAATAATTATTTTAAATGATAATAAAATATTAATTAAGGGAAAACGGACCAGGCGATTGTCGGGGGAACTCATATGCTATTCAATCCTATATTCTCGCAATACAAGCAATACATAGGTATGTGTTCCCCGAGAGGTGTGTCCGCCGTATTGGACGAGTCAGCGGACGGGTACGTCAAGTCAGACGCCGTGTGCTGTCTATTCCTACAGCGAGCTAATGATGCGCACAGAGTGTACGGGCGGGTGGTGTCGGCCCGCATGGGAATGGATGGCTACAAAACTTGCGGTAAATTCTTCCCCTCCAGTGAAGCCCAGGAGGCGCTTATGATAGAGGCGTATAAATGTGAAAATATTGATCCCTTAAAACTGACATATTTTGAGGCACATGCGACTGGCACCAAGGTGATCAGTCATTTTAATTAATAATTATAATTTTTCAAAATATGTAATTTTATTTCGTATATTAAACACCAGTTCCGGTTTAGAATCTAACAAAATAACCTATGTACTCTGGATACATTGAATTTGCGTTTAAATAATAATAAATAATTGTTTGCCAACAGGTCGGAGACACTGTAGAAATGAAAGCCGTATATAAGGCTTATTGTGAAGCACCGGCACGTAAGGACCCGTTGCCCATTGGATGCCTAAAGAGCTCAATGGGTCACTCGGAGGGGGCGTCAGGAGTGGCGGCGATCATCAAAGTGTTGATATCATATGAAAACGAATCCATTCCTCCGAATCTGAATCTCAAAAATCTGAAGCAAGAGTTAAAGCCATACTTCCCACCACTTCTACCAATCAATAAAACACTCCCCTATAAGCCGGGTATTTTAATTTTAAACAAATATCATTTATAACTGTTTGTAAAAATTATTTTATAATTATACATTAGATATTTGTATATTTAAAAGAAAAAAAATATATATAAATATTAATTTGTAGGACTGGCCGCAATCAACAACTTTGGCCTGGGTGGTGCCAACGCACACGTATTGGTTGAACCCAACTATAAGTTGCAAACCAGTGATGGCCTAAAAATTTCCGAAACTATCCCCAGAATTGTCAACATTTGCGGCAGAAATGAGGATTCAGTGAAACATATCATGGATTTCATTGAGAATAACCCAAAGAAAATCACAAATGATTTTTTGGCTCTTTTAACACAAACTATGAAATATTGGTTTACATCTGTTATTAATTCATCAGGATTTCCATATAGAGGTTATTTTATTATTAAATCAATGTTTGTGTTCATATTTAAAGTTCTGAATAAAAATATAAATATTTACATTTAGATAAATTTATTGTACTATTAATAATATACTATTTTTAATGATTATACAAAAATTGATATGAATTTTAGGATCGATTATAATAAAGAAAATAAAAGAAGAAAACAATGAAATTCAATACAATTATAAGAAACAGATTGGAGTTATGACTGAGAAAAGTGTGCGACAACTATGGCTACTGTTCCCCGTTGAATTTTAGGATCGATTATAATAAAGAAAATAAAAGAAGAAAACAATGAAATTCAATACAATTATAAGAAACAGATTGGAGTTATGACTGAGAAAAGTGTGCGACAACTATGGCTACTGTTCCCCGGATTGGGTGGACAATGGACTGCAATGGCGAAGGCTTTGATGCCAATCAAGATATTTGCGGATAAAGTGGAGGAATGCCACCAAATATTACAAGAGTTTGGCATTGATTTGAAAGACATGTTGTTATCTGAAGACAAGACTCTGATGTCGACAATGACTGCAAAGTTCTGTTCGACGACTGCTATAGAGATAGCATTATATGAAGTGATGAAAGCCATAGACATGACACCCGACGGCATAATCGGCCACTCGTTTGGTGAGATCGCCTGCGCTTATGCTGACGGATGTCTGTCCACTCGCGAGGCTATGGTTGTGACGTATATCAGAGGACGTGTCACTGAAAGCGATACTAAACTACCAAAGAGTTTGATGGCAGTCGTGGGTCTGTCGGAGTTGGAGACTCTAAAGCGATGTCCAAAAGGGACGGACATCGCCTGTAATAATGGCAAACAAACTGTTGTTGTTTCAGGTTTTGTTAACTTTTATTATTAATCTTATTTGAAATTATTAATATAGATATTTGATATGATAGTTATCAAACCACAATTATCTTTATCATAAATACTTTGTGACATTTGATGCGAAAGTTTTATAAAGCAAAGCAAAAGTTAAAAATAAAGTTTATATTATTTTAACTTTAGGCCCAATGAATGAAATGAAAGGGTTTATGAAATCATTGGAAGAAAATTCAATTTTTGTGCGACAATTAGATAGCAATGGATTACCCCTTCATTCACGATATATGATTACATCCAAACAGCCTATGATTGACAACATCGAGAAATATGTGGCAAAACCTAAGCTTAGGTCTAAGAAATGGTTGTCTACTGCAGTCACACCTGAAGACATAGACAATGAAAGTTTGAGATATGCTTCGGGCGAGTATTTCGCCCATAACCTGGTCTCTCGGGTTAGGTTTTATGAGACACTCAAACAATTGCCATCCAATGCAGTGGTCCTCGAGTTAGGCCCACATTCTCTGTTCAAACGGATTGTCACCGAAACGCTTCCCAACTCCACTCATATATCGCTTATGAAAAAGGACTCAAACCATTCAAATCTGGATCTTTTTATGTCGGGTTTGGCCACCATTTATGAGTTGGGATTCAATCCGTCGATCGACAAACTGTACGCACGGGTCGAGTGGCCGGTGGCTCGCAATACACAGTCCATCAGTTCACTCATCAAATGGGATCATAGCCTACAATATGATCGCAAAATATACCCCAAAATGTATAACAGAGTGAACGCATCCGATATGAATGTATGGATCAGTCCTCACGTCAAAGAAGACGCCTTTTATTACGACCACAGACTCGATGGCGACGTCTTATTCCCGGCCACAGGATATCTACTACTGGC